CCAGCCCCAGCTGCTGAGAGCCGCCAATGCACCGGCGGCAGGGGGACCCACCACCGGAGGGGAACACGACACACCAAATGGGGGGCCAAAACTGATCCAAGAGAGGGGACCACCTAAAACCCAACCTGAGACATAAACAGGCATACAGAGACAGTCCAACAGAACCTCTGTCGGGCTGTCCATGCGCCCCACCCGCCTGACAGCGACCGCAAGCCGGTCCCAGGCCAGGGGCCAGAGCAGCAGGGATCAGCAGCCGAGAAAGCCGGCCCAGCACACCAATGCATCCCTACAGCCCCACACCACAGGCCCGGAGAGGCCCTGGCACGCCACCCATGCACCCCCCCACAGCACACAGCACCCCCCACCGCGAATGTCACATCAGGCCGACAAGCCAGCACCCCGTCAAAGTGAAGCCACGCCCCCGACCGCGGCCACGCACTACCAACGACCACACAACCACAGCCGACCGACTGCCAGAACCCGGCAGCCACCCAAGCCAAAGGGCTAGCTATCGCAACCAGGAACCCTGGTCAAAGGATCCAAACAATCCAGGGAGAAACGGAGCACCAGCCCCACCCCCAATCATCTCCCAAGGCCCAACACCCACCCACAGCCCAGACCCCAACCAGGCAACCTACTCCACCCCCTACAACCGACCCCAAATGTCAGACGAAGAATGAGGGTTTAAGGAAAACTGGAAGACCCAACTCCTCCCTCCTCCCACTCAAATAAGATGTTGATGCATGTTGTTATATAGTGCGTTTAAAATGGGGGGGGGGGATGAGGCGGTGACTGGCATAGACCCACCCCCTCCCCAGAGAGCAGGCAGTGCCCATTCACCTCCCCAACCCTTGCCCAGAACCCTAAATGTCTACATGCTACATATGAGAGTCGGTACTGTTGATATTTTCTGGGTTGTTAATATAAAAGTTTGATATGTTTACGCAATTTAAAATTTACTTGAAAATGATAATTAAAGTGTTTGCCTGCAGTTTAGCTCTGAGTCTCAGAAAGGATCAGTACGTTGTCGAAATGAAAACATCAATACCAGTTTATTTTGTTCATCAATTTTATCATCACTCTTATTAGTCATTTACTTCACTCTGTTAAAGCTTATCTAAAACTGTAGCAGCTGTACCTCTCCAACATCAGTGTGTGAAGTTTTTCAACTTTTGTTTCTCACAGACTGCCGGTACGGAACCTCAACTCCAGAATGTCACTGACCACAAACGTACTGTCTGTTTTTACCCTGATAAGATTAGATTGATGCCTGTTGTGTCAAAGCAAGATCTGTTACGTGCGAAGGTTCATAAATGAGACTGTATTGCTCATGATTTTGGAGAACACACAAGAACTCTTGGGCTGCGTTTTCGTTTCATGTGTTCTCTCTTCTGCATAAGAGAAATAAACCTTGCTACGTGATTTTTTTAACAAAGTTCTCAGTTCAGGTCTGCTAAATTTTATTGAACAACAAAGTTTGATAAAACTCCACACACAGGTCCCGGAGGTGAGAATGATTACACATCCCACCCCCTATATGCCATCATGTGCCCACTCCAGACCCTATATATATATATATATATATATATATATATATATATATATATCGTGGGAATGGTATATGCATATATATATATATATGCATATGTCGTGAGAATGTTATATGCGAGTGTCTAGGTTGTTTGATAAAATTGGGGCCCAGGTCTCCACGAACCACGGAGATGGAGGATCCTCCCCGCAGCTCAGTAGTGCACCTGAACCCCAAGGCCCTGCTTGAGTGGTGGTGTGATGGAGTGGGTGGCGGAAGACGTCGGGATGGGGAGGATCAACTGAGGTGGCAATGCCCTCCCAGGGGGGCAGCTCCCCAACTGACCCCAATAGGCACCCCCATTCTCTGAGATCCACCAGGGGAGGGAGGCTCCAGTGCATCCATCCAGGAGCAAGAGGCAGCCGCATCACCAGGGACCCAGGCCAGCAACCCAACACCCCTGAGATCATCCAGACACCTAACCCGATCCCCAGCTCAACACCCAGCCCCCCAATCAAAGAAGCCACCAAACTCCAGCAGCTACAATCGGCTAGGAGTGCCCGAACAGTCGCAGACAGCGCAACACGATGACCTAGAGCGCACCCCCACCCCCACAAAAGGACCGACCAGTCCACCACAGCAACACCCACAATGAGAGCACCCCATGCAAGGGAGGGCACACGCCTAACACGCCCAGACACCCCCGGGCCAGCAGTGCATAGCCACCTGAGCAAAAGCCCCCCCACCCACAGCCCAGACCCCCAACCAAGCACCAGACCGCAGCCACAGCCAGGCAGGAAGACACCCAGACTGAAGACACCCAGGCTGAATCCACCCGCCCCTCACACACACACCCTCCCCCTCCCCCATGGCAGAGGCCCTTCTGTTAGTTCTACAATTTGTATCCTCCGTTGTTCCAATTCACAGCAGCAGGTCTGCTATCTCAGCCTTTTTCCTCACCAGAGATCTTATCTGGTGCGCTCCTGCGCATGGAGCACACAATTACGCAGCATGTAATTACGCACACAGAAGGCTGAGTGATGAAATGTTTTTTTGTGCAAGCAAGTGCTTCATCTTGTGTCTGAGTGGACCCAGTGAGGCATAGACTACATCCTGCTACGCCTTTAACCCACTAGCAAAATTCTTAAAAGGCAAAGCCTATATGAAATAGAACGCTGGTTACGTACTGTAACCCCAGATTCTATGAGTATAGGCATAGCCCTTTAAGCTCTGGGCCTCACTGGTTCCTAAATGGCTGAAGAAAAAAGCTATTTGGGAGCTGATTACCTGGTCTCACCGTAATTTATACGGACTGGGGATGAAGCCCACAAACAGCAGGTGGGCGTGGACTAAAGTTTTCAGTGCTGCGCTGCGCGCCTAGGGATAAACCCACTAGCGAAAGTCTTAAAGTGCTACGCCTATACTCATAGAATCTGGGGTTACAATATGTAACCAATGTTTTTGGTTATGTGTGTCCTTGGCTGATAAAGCCTTCCAGATCGAAGGCGAAACTTTTCAGCACAAAAAAAATAAACTGTCCAGATGACCTGACTGAAATATGGGGCATGCCAAAGACACTATCTTAGCACCAACATAACTGGTTTGTTCTGCTTTGGAGTAAGCTGTTGGGGGGAAAATCAGTTTTGTGTTGTGTGTGTCCTTAACTGATGAAGCCTTCCGGATCGAAGGCGAAACATTTCTGCATAAAAAAGAAACTGTCCAGATGACCTGACTGAAAAATATTGAATTGTATACCTGAATTATTGAGCATGGACTTTGTTGTTTTCAACCAGTTTGACACGACTGTCAACAAGGAAGAGGGCCGGCAATGGAGGAGGGTGTGTGCCAAAGACACCATATTAGCACCAAGATAACTGGTTTGTTCCACTTTAGAGTAAACTGTTGGGAGATGAATCAGTTTTGTGTTGTGTGGTTCCTTGACTGATGAAGCCTTCCGAATCAAAGGCTAAATTTTTCTGCACAAAAAAAGAAACTGTCCAGATGACCTGACCGAAAAATGTTGCATTGTATACCTGGATTATTGAGCATGGACTTTGTTGTTTTCAACCAGTTTTACACGACTGTCAACCAGGAAGAGGGCCGGCAATGGAGGAGGGGGCGTGCCAATGACACCATCTTAGCACCAACATAACTGGTTTGTTCCACTTTGGAGTAAGCTGTTGAGGGAAGAATCAGTTTTGTGTTGTGTGTTTCCTTGACTGATGAATCCTTCCGGATCGAAGGCGAAACGTTTCTGCACAAAGAAAAAACTGTCCAGATGACCTTACTGAAAAATGTTGGATTGTATACCTGGATTATTGATCATGGACTTTGTTGTTTTCAACCAGTTTGACACGACTGTCAACTAGGAAGAGGTCCGGCAATGGAGGAGGGGCTGTGCCAAAGACACCATCTTAGCACCAACATAACTGGTTTGTTCCACTTTGGAGTAAGCTGTTTGGGTAAGAATCAGTTTTGTGTTGTGTGTGTCCTTGACTGATGAAGCCTTCCGGATCGAAGGCGAAATATTTCAGCACAAAAAAAAAAAAACTGTCCAGATGACCTGACTGAAAAATGCTGGGGAGTACTTGTGTATTTATATAAAATAAAATGACAAATTACTAGCCCCCCACAGAATATCCCCCCCCCCCCCCCCTACACACACACCACCACCACCACCTAATCTTCTGGAGTGTGGTGTGAGTACATCTCAGAGTAATTTACTTAAACTGACTTTGAGTGGATCATTAGAATCCCACCTTATTTTGCACATATAGGAAGTGCACTTGTTTTTAATAAAGTGTATAGGATCTAATAATATCTACATTAGAATTTAAACACAAACTATTCAATTTCTATTAACACCAAAATAAGAATGAAAAAAGTTGTAAAACTCTGACAGTATCTGATTCGCTTTGCTCTTTAATAGTCACATAAACTGTAAAAGTACATTTTCAAATCATCTCAAATCATCCATCCATCCACCATCCATCCATTATCTTTACCCGTTTATTCCATTTTGGGTCACTGGGGTTGCTGGTGCCCATGTCCGGCAATCACTGTGCGAGGGGCGGGGTACACCCTGGACAGGTCGCAAGTCCATCACAGGGCCACATAGAGTCAAACGAGACAAACAACCATTCACTCTCACTCACACCTAGGGACAATTTAGAGTTACCAATCAGCCTAACATGCATGTTTTTGGTCAGTGGGAGGAAACCTGAGAACCCGGAGAAAACCCACGCATGCACAGAGAGAACATGCAAACTCCACCCAGAGGGCCCCTGGACCAGGGACCTGTTCGCTGAGAGGCAGCAGCTCTATCAGTTGCGCCACCATGCTGCCCATCTCAAATCAGTTCTGTTTAAATCTCTGAGCTCATCTGCAGATAAATTAACTGTTTCTGACCCTTCTTTATTAAGTAGAGCAGCCGTTATTTTGAACTATAATCCAAATATACATGTTTACATACCTGGAGTAGGTGTTGGACACAGAGGGAGACCTATGAAACAACATGTAACAATAAATAGACGTATTTTGTTCACAAAACTTTCAGTTATAACTCATTTGAAAATGTCTACAGAAGATAATCTTCAGACATTATGCTTGTGATTCTACAGACCTGTTTGTTGAGAAATAAACAATTTTACTGTCAAATCTTCAAAACAGTAAGCTTACTTGTGATTGGTTGACAGAAGTTGTTCTCAGGAAGTCCATTCACACATGAACAGATCTGACTGCTGACATTACTGCATGAATGATTGCTGCACATGTCACAAGGCCAAGCAAAGCCATCTTCACACTGACACTGGAGTTCTTCAGAGCTTGGAGAGCAGACTGATAAAGAGATTTAAAGAAAGTTGAAATGAAACACTGTAAATACTATAAACCCATTCAGATAAAACAACTGGTAAACAGGTGTTCTTACCTGTGGTGATGTTTATGTCTATTATTTTCAAAGACTGTGAAATGTTTAATGGGAAGAAGATATTTTGCAGCTTGTTTCTGAGCTCAGTAAAATTAAGGACACTGGAGACAGGGATGTGCAGGTCAAGGACCATATCATAAACCACTGGGACTGTAAAGGTAAGAAGGATTAAATTAATCAAATTAATTTGATGTAACCATTACTGAATGGAAACAAAACAATGTACTTTTCATTAATTTATACAAAAACAATCAAAATTTCTTTAAAGGTTTCCTAAAAACTTTTTCTACCCCCTTTTTGTTCAAAACAAACATTTTATTCTCCATTTTACAATGTGTTTAGTAACCTGCGTGTGTTTTTTTTTACATTCCTTCAATTCAAAATAACCCAGTTTCTGGTTGTACAACGCAATCTGTGCCCTCATTGACCCATCCAGACATTCAAACTGTGAAAATAGAATAGAATAGAATAGAAACAGCCTTTATTGTCCCACAGATGGGAAATTCAAGTGTAACAGCAGCAACAGATAAAAAGATTCACAGAAAACTTCCTAAATGTTAAAAATGTTTTTTTTTTACTTCCGATCTGATCCCGATCCCCAAATCTGGATATTGGCCGATACCGATAACGTCCCGATATCATCATTATTGATTTTATATGAGGCTGTAATAATCTCCTCTCAAGTACAATTTGTACAAATACTGTATATGCATGTCCAAAAAGGCAACATGAGGTAAGTTTTATTAATGTTGGATAAGTTTAAAAGTTAGAATTAAATCCTGTTAACACAAAACATGCTTTTTTTTTTTAATTCCTAACTTTAAAGTGGATATTAAAGTGATTAGATGGCTTCAAACATCTGCTAAGTTCATGGCATAAACCAACACACACGTGTTCTTGTTTTTAGTATTTTACGTTCCTTTATAATGTAGCTGTTTTTGTTTTGTTTTGTTTTAAATATATATATATATATATATATATGTATATATATTATTTTCAATTCTTATGCTTTTTTATGATTGTCTACTGTTCTGCAGATAAATATTTCCTGGAGGGTAAACTATATCTTGGCTGCAAGTATCAAGCTGCAAAATCCTTCATTTTCTACAACAGTTGGTCATTAATTACGATGAAGTTTATCAACTTCTCGGTAAACTTCGAGCTCTGGAGCTTCAGCAGTGTGTTAATCATTCAATCCAGAGAAGGCAGTCTGATTTCGGTCAGCCGCGCTCAGTCTGCCCCTCCTCTGAAATGGGCAGAGTGAGCGGGTCAGACTGAGTGGGTCAGACTGAGCGCGGATGACCAAAATCAGACTGCCTTCTCTGGACTGAATGACAATAACACACCGCTGAAGCCCCAGAGCTTCAATGTCCAACGTGAAACTAACTTTTCCGCAGTTTAATGCGGTGCTATGGCTCTGCAGACATTGCACGTTGCTGTCTTGTTTTTGGCGTTTCTAGTGTAAAATATTTCCACACAGCGAACATGTTTAGATGAAAAGTTGATTAGCTGTTAGCCACAGTGCTACTGCACGTTGTAGCTGGTTGCAAACTATGAAATGGATTTCCTGACTGTGAGGTGGGTCTTATTACTCTGGGTTCATTAGACACGCCTCCGTTCCGGAAATCCATTCCATAGTTTGAAGCCAACTTGCAAAGCAGCTGGCAGGGAATCAGATGTGGAGATGTTTTATTTGGAGACACAGACATGCATCATGGATCAGAAATCTCTGCAGGTTGGATCAGAAAAATCCAATACTTAAATCATTTTGGTATCGGAGCCCGATAAAGATCACCATCACCTCTGGAAGCCTCAACTGAGCTGTGCGAGAACTTCCTACATTTCTTTTTGGAAAAAATTGCGTTCACCCGGGCTCTCATTTTCCCTCCAACTCATGACCCATCCATCCCACGTCACGCTGTAGCTCTTTTTTTTACCATTTTGAACCCATCACTCTATCTTCTCTAGAGCAGGTCATGTGTAGCTTGAAACCTTCTGGTTCCCCCTTTGATGTGGTCCCAACTCGACTACTAAAGGAGGTTTTTCCTGCTCTAGGTCTATCCATTCTTGCTATAGTAAACAGTAGTTTATCCACTGGTGTGGTGCCAAAAACCTTTAAACATGCTGCTGTCCAGCCTCTCCTGAAAAAACAAACCTTGACTCCTCAGTCATATCCAACTTCCGGCCTGTCTCCAGACTCCAAGTTGTTTCTAAAATACTGGAGAAAATAGTCGAGTCCCAGTTGAAGTGCTTCCTGGAGGATCACGCCATCTTAGAGCCATTCCAATCTGGCTTTAAACCTCTCCACAGCACCGAAACTGCCCTATTCAAGGTTTTTAATGACATCTTCAAATACACAGATACCAGTGATTCTGTGCTGCTTGTCCTATTGGACCTCACAGCCGCCTTTGACACCATCGACCATGAGATCCTCATTGCTATGTTGGAGCAGTGGGTGGGCATCACAGGGTCAGCATCACAGCGTCAGCCCTCAATTGGTTCAGATCCTCCCTCGCTGACAGATCCTTTTGTGTCTCCATCAAGGATTTTAGTTTCGCAGAGGCAGAGCTTAAATGGGGGGTTCCGCAGGGGTCTATCCTGGGTCCCTTCCTGGGTCCCCTCCTATTCTCTTTACACCTGCTGCCACTTGGTGCTATTTTCCAGAAAGACAACATACCCTTTCACTTCTACGCTGATGACTGTCAGATTTACTTCCCCCTAAGACACAATGGTACATGCTCTAGTCAACCTCTGCTCGACTGCCTGGCTGACATCAGGGACTGGATGGCTTTAAACTTCTTAAGTTTCAATGAAAAGGAGTCTGAAGTCATGTTGTTCCCTCCCAACAACACAATCACAAACCACTGCATCGACCTTTCCACTCTATCCTTGTCAGAAAAACAAAGAGTCACTAATCTGGGCATGATAATGGACCCTTCCCTGAAACTTAACAATTATGTAAACTGAGGCGGCTATCTAAACTGAAGCCCATATTATCCAAAAATAACCTGGAGACAGTAATACATGCATTCATTACATCTAGGCTTGATTACTGCAATTTGCTCCTGTTTAGTATCAGTCAGACCTCCATTGCATGACTACAACTGGTCCAGAATGTAGCAGCCCGATTTTTAACCAGTACAGGCAAAAGAGAGCACATTACACCAGTTTTGGCCTCACTGCACTGGCTACCAGGTCACCTTCGAATCCAGTTCAAAATACTCCTGTGTGTCTACAAATCACTGAACAGTCCCCCCCCCCCCCCCCCCATCTCTCTGATCTGCTACAACTGTATGTCCCTCCACGTTCCCTGAGGTCAGCGGACCAATTGTTCCTTACAGTTCCAAGAACTCGTCATAAGTGCAGAGGTGACAGGGCCTTCTCTGTAGCAGGACCAAGACTTTGGAACGAGTTACCGCTGCTTGTCAAACAGGCCCCCTCCCTCTCGGTTTTCAAATCCTGTTTAAAAACGTATTACTATTCAGTAGCTTTCAACACCAGAGGATCTGTGTTTTGAACCTGTATGCTCCACACTGGTTTGTCATCATATTTATTATCTGCATCATTTTTATGTCTAGATTCTGATTTACTTCATTTTGTATATTGCTTTGTGTGTTGTCTGTTGTTCTGTCTGTACAGCACTTTGGTTGGCCTTGTCACAGTTTTAAGTGTTCTACAAATAAAATGGAATGGTATGGTATGGTAAAGATACTGGATCGGATCCATCCCTAATTTAAGATGCAGTAATCTGTCACTGAACGAGCTCTCCAGTTCAGCAACAGCTTCACGCATGAGGTGGGAGACGTTTTCCAGCAATTATGTTATTTTAGCTAGAGTCCTTCTGTCTCCCACCACCTGCACTGGGTTGAGGGGGCATCCAAGCACAGAGCTGGCCTTCTTGATGAGCTTATCTAGCTGCTTCTTCTCAGCTGATGATAAGCTGGTGCTCCAACAGACAACACCATAGAAGATGGCTGATGCCACTACCGAGTCAAAGAAGGTCTTCAGGATCACCCCCTGCACTCCAAAAGACCTCAGTCTCCTCAGCAGGTAGAGTCTGCTCTGACCCTTCCTATAAAGTGCATCAGTGTTGTGAGACCTGTCCAGTTTATTGTTCAGGTTAACACCCAGGTACTTTTAAGTGTCCACTATGTCAATGTCCACTCCCTGGATGTTCACCGGGGTCAGTGAGGTGGGTCTGCACCTGCAAAAATCCACCACCAGCTCCTTAGTTTTAGCAGCGTAGATAAGAAGGTGGTTCAGCTGGCACCAGTCCACAAGGTCTCGAGTCCGCTGTCTGTACTGAGTCGTCCTCACCTGTGATGTGGCCGACTATGGCAGAGTCATTAGAAAACGTTTGCAGATGGCAGTGTGGGGAGTTGATGGAGAAGTCTGCAGTATAGAGGGTGAAGAGGAACGGTGCCAGCACAGTTCCCTGCGGGACCCCCATACTACAGACCAGCCTGTCAGAGACATAGCCCTGTGTCCTCACATACTGTGGGGGTCCAGTGAGGTAATCCAGTATCCATTGGGACATGTGGTGATCCTCTCCTGATAACTCCAGCTTGTCCTG